TACGACGTCAGGGCCGAGGTCCGGACGTAGTGACGAGGCAGTTGACCGATGGCCGAAGGCTTGAATCAGGCACCGTACGCCGGTGGCAGCCAATGACCAGGTGTCCGCCAAGGTCTGGGCCGAAGGACGTAGCGACGAGGCAGTTGGGCGTTGGCCGAAGGCTTGAGTCAGGCTCAGGACGTCTGTGGCACGGAGTGGCAGCGGGTGTTCAACTGCGCCACGCATGCCCTCTTGTCCACCTCCGGAAGGTTGGCGCCCGGACTGCGTGAGAAGTGGGTTGTGGGTCGGGCCTCTTGACGTCTGGTCACGCCGACGGAGGTCCGGCCCGGTCGCGTCTGCACCGTCCTTTGTCAACCGCCCGAATCCCCTCTCGCGCTCCTCGCATGCCCCCACCTCGTCTTCTTCTTTCTCGTCCTCTTCGGCTGGTCGCGGGATCGCTCATCACACCAGACTAAGCCAATCAATTGGCGACGTGCGCGACCGAAAGCGTCGCTGTGGTCGGCCTTTCACGATTTGCACAAAAGCTGACTATGACGTCGGAAAGGGTATACCATCGACGGAAATAAGAAGAATGAAGGAACTTTAATTTCGACGGTGTTGGCAGTGTTCCTTTGAGAGCGCAATGATTTCAGGCTTCCACCATGCTATTTACAAACACCATCGAACTTCTTGTTTTCAAGGTAATGACGTCACAAGGGGGAACCATAGGAGGGCGCCACCAAAACATCTCGCCGCTAATTTCCAACGTTGGTAGGCCACTGGCTGAGACAGGCAATTGGTGGCCAGCTTAAACCAATCGATTGCCAACTTTGGTAACCCGTTGGCTCTATTACATCTTATATTTCTGAGGGCGTTGTCACTACCGTAGTCAGTACTGCAGTTGTCGTATTTTGTACGCACTTTGAAGTCATTTTTGGGCAAGCAGGCATAATGCTGAGCTTCTTCTGTTATAGACCTTTCCAATGTTTATTAATCCACAGCTCAGCGTGCGATCTCCACAGCTCAGCGCGCGCGTGTGCGTCGCTTCGGAAAGCGAGCAAATCACGCGCGATACGCACGAACACTGAAAATGAAACCGGCCAGCAGCCCTTTTCTGGAAAAGTCTATCTATGTGTTGCGTGATAACCTTTCTTTGCAGATTGAAATGCGCATCAGCTTTATGTCACCTCCTACCTCAAACATAGGGTGTTCGAGATGTTAATTCAACGCAATTTTTTTATTCGTGAAGACATGTAATTGCTTAATCAGTCGCTGGATATCTGTTTAAGGTTTTATTTTTTTGCTAAAATATTAGTGCTTTTTATTTACTTTTTTGTCCGGTTCAGTCTGAATTATAGGCCGCGTTTTGCGGCTCAGCAAAGCGGGTTGCCTTGAGATTTTCAAGATCACATACAGCTGACAATACACCCCTGTCCTAGGTTGGGGAGGCGGGTGGAAATTTCGGGGTTGCACCCTGCCTCCCCCCCCCCCCTCTTTGGAAACGTTTCCCGGCTGCGTCGGTAAATGGGCATACGAGAAGAGGCACCTATGCTTTTTGCCGTATAAACATATACACAAATCGAAGGAAGCGTGCATTTTGTATTTTGTGAGGAATTTACTAAGCATAACTATCAGTTTTGGGAAGACGCGTGTTAGTTATAGTCGGTGACAGGTGGTAGAAGCTCCTCCCATCTCTTTTCATATTTGTAGATCGAAAGATCAGGAGGAGTCGACCTCCTCCCCAGCGTTTATTTTTAACCTGTCACCGACTTGCTACAGCTCGCAATGCATACAGCGTTCTAATTCAGTTGCTAACTCGCTCTGCGTGTAAAAACAGAAGAATCGTTCCCCCCGGAGGCATAGCTAGAGATTGTTCTCAGCGTGCGCGATCAGCACATTAAAAGAACTAAGCCAATTATATATAACAATGGTAAGCCACTGGCTAAGACAGGCCAATGTTTCCCAGCCTAAGTCAATCGATTACCAATGTCGGTAATTGATTGGCTTAAGCTGGCGAACATTGGCCTGTCTTAGCCAATCGATTACCAATGATGGCAACTCATTGGCTAACGTAGATCAATGTTGGCCAGCCTAAGCCAATTGATTACCAATGTTCGTAACCAAGTGGCTGAGACAGGCCAATGTTGGCCAACCTAAGCCAACCAATAGCCAACGTTGCTAAGCCGTTGGCTGAGGTTGGCCAATGTTGACCAGTATAAACCAATCGATTGCCAACGTTCGTAAGCCATTGGCTGAGGTAGGCCAATGTTGGCCAGCCTAAGCCAATCGACTACCAACGTTGGTGAGCCGTTGGTCAAGTCAGGCCAACGTTGGCCAGTATATTCCAGTGTACCACCAATATTGGTTCTCCGGTGACCACATTGGCCCAATATTGGACCATTGTTTGTCGAATAAATCCCAATGTTGGCCCGACGTCGTGTACTGTCTGGGACCTTCCCCGGCAACAATCCAAATTGTGTAGGCGATAGTATATCTAGTCTCTCTATAAAAAATGTCAATATGCGAAACGCATGCTTTTCATGTATTTGTGCGATGATGGGTAAAATGGAAATGGGTCATTTAATAATCATTTTTTTTTAGAACCACCTTTGTACAAGAGTCAAAATGTTGCCGAATTTGAGCTCATCAGTAATGACTCCTCAGTAAGGCCCTTCAGCATAAAAAGGACAGATTTGATACTGTGAAAGGTTCGACGAAATTCGGCCAGACGATTATTGCCTGTTCCAGGGGACGTGTTTGGCTCGAAACTAAGTAAAATGGAGTTCAAATCGGCTTCTCGGAGTGGAGCAGGTAATGGAGAAAATGGTGATGACGTTTTGAATATGAATTGGCGAATGTCTTGCCTCAGCAGAAGAGGAATCAACGAAAGCAATCAAATTTTCTATGATTTCACGCGAATTTCTCTCAAAGAGATGTCTTCAGTGCATTATCAGTTTGAGTGTGCGTATTGTGGCCACAGAACTAGTTCATTAGGAAAGAAGTCTTTTTTTCGAACGAAATTTTGAGAATTTCTTCTGTTATTGAGTGCGCTTTGCCGACCGAATCATTGCGTTGACTTTGTTTCAACAAGACTTAAAATTTACCTTCAATAGAAAATTTCAAGGCGAGCGTAGGCAACATGCACATAATTGTTTTTTTTCTCCTGCCATTCCTTCTAAAGTATTTGGATTGAGCCACGAAAGATCAGGGCAATGTTTTTTTGTTTTTTTTTATACACATTACATGTTGACTTGATTTATAGACCTGGTTGAAGGCAAGAACAAACCTTGGATATCCGTCACGATAGCTGACCGACTCTACAAATACGTTCGAGTTAAGAGGCGAAACCACCTTGTCGAAAGTATTGTTATTTAGTCTCCTTTCATTAGCGTGACCGGGTATTTCGTGCAAAATTTAGGAACTATAATAGCTGGCAAGCAATGTAGTAGTGGTCAGCGAGTTTTTACGTACTGATTGCTAATTTAACGGCCGACGCAGATGTTGTAATGTTTTTATGGTCATAGCAAGAGTAAAGAAACATGTCCAGGAGAAATTCTTCACGTGTTTTGGCATTGATTATGTACTTAATCCCACTTGCTGCCATACTATTCAGGTAATTGCATACCGTAGATTTTACGCGCTTAAAGTTTTATATTCAATTGGGCATGCAGACTAAGGTTGCTGACACGTTTTCATTTCTTGCAAAAAACATCTTACTTTATTTTTGTTTTGTTAATTCGTTTCATAAAAACCTAGTAAGCTAAATAACGTTAGATTTACACAAGAAAGGGCGACGCATTAGCCTGAGCAAAAATTAAAAAAAAACAGGGGAAATAAAAAGTTTTTCACTCAACAAAAAACACAATGTTTCCTCGATGTCCAGAACATCGCGTGTACAATGTACTTGCATATCCTGACAAAAAAACTAATTTTAATATGGAAAGGGAATTCTGATTCTGTTAAGACATAAACATCTATTAATCTTCAAATGTATTTTGATATCATATTAAATTCATTCCAATGTCTGCGTACACTCCTGATATCAACGTGTAAGAAAAAAAAATAGTGGTCTTGGCAATTTCCAAAATAATTACGAAAAGTCGGAAACTCGGAAACCTGAGCTAACTTTGTCATAGTGTTAAAGAGTCTTTTTATGGTTTAATGGAGGGATACTAGAACAAAAGCTCCGCTCATTTCGCCCCCCCCCCCCCCCCCCCTAGATGTTGGCCTTCGACACGCGCGCGAAAATGCACGCTCGCCTTGCCCCTCTGTCGGGCAGGCCAAAACACCTCTTTTTTTGGGGCGGCTTAGGTCGTCGTTGAAATAGAATCTCGGGAACGAGCCATCCTCTCTGAGCCAGCCACCTGCTCTACGCGCTTGCGTCCATGATTCCTTCGAGGTAACAGATGCAAATCGGATTCATATTGGTGGTGTATTGCTAGGTTTGGCAGAAAAGCGGTGTATAGCTAGGATGTTAGTTTCGTGAAAATATGTAATATATATTTGGTCATCTAGTGTTGAGGTGAAGGTCATGCGTTCTTCTCCAAAGAGAGCATGCACCTCAGCGCTAGCAAGGGCGCTCTGTTGCTCGTCGTCGTTTAGCACTCGCATCACCCGGATTTCGGCTGCTTGTAGATATACAGTTGACATTAGTTGGGGTGGTCCATCTTGCAGAGCCTTGCCAGTTTGTTCGTCGGGGATAGGCAGCTTGATTATGTGGCCATATTGGACAGACAAGGATTTCATGGAATGTTTGATTCCGTTCATTGCCTGCCTCAGGCTCTCAACGATCCGCTTTAGAGATAGGCGATCGTAAAGCTTAACCGAGAGAGACAGGAGAAACATACAAACAGAAATAAAATTTCTGGTTGTAATAATATTAAGAGGACAAAGGGAAATAACAAAAATAACCATGCTATTAAGCTACATTCTAAATGCCCAAAAGCAACTGCCTCGTTTGTTGTTGTACCAAGCAAGTCAAAATGACATTTCCGGACGTCAATTGATCCAAATGATTTCAGAAAACTGTCCTGTACAGTCATTACACGATGCGTAAATTCACGTTTATAAAACCAATATACTGCGAGTAATTGGTAAGTTTCGCCTGATAGCTTCGCTGTGACGTGGAGTCGAAAGAGTAGTTGTTGCTTTCGCAAACGGATCTAACGATCCACAAGGCTGCCTCCAGCGGTTCTGCGCGACATATTCGCCCCCTTTAGTGCATCCATAATAAATAACAGCTTCGTATGTACCAGTCAAAAAGCATAAAAAAGAATGGTACCTTCATAAGAGTTGATATGCCGTCAGGTAAAATAATTTAAGGTCGTTGCCACCTTTCCATTCACTTAAGTCTACAGCAGCTGTCATTCAGTAGCCACTTCATCCGACACGTATTCTGCAACATCGTGCAGTGAGGTTTCTAAACTAAGCGAGGCTGCTGTAGCTACAGCGACTTTCCTTGAGGTTTCATAGATCTTGCTTTCTAAAACCTCCAGCTCGAATCGTTACTGACTGATCTTAAACTCCCGCGCAAGATTGGCAAGGCTCAATATCTCCGCAGGGAAGCCGCTTTGCAGCATACCGGAAACATTGGCTCTTCTGCACTGTGTCCATGCCACCCGGTCGTGTTGGTGACTATACGATCTAATGAGGGTTCTGAATGAAGAAACCCAACTGGATCATAAATCACGTGACGTCATTTTCGTTCCTAAATTCAGCTGAGAAAACCGACTTGTCTGGAGGTCCCGTGAAGTCAAATACGTGACCTTAATTTTCCCGCTAAACATAGTGGGGAAACTGAATTCGCGTATAGGACACATGACATCAAATTCCCTGCTAAACTTATCGGAAAATTTACGGGCAGACGGAACGCACAAAGGTACGGACGGACGGATGGACGAACACAATTTAGGCATTGAATGCAGCGTTAAAAAGCATTTCCTGCTTTAATATGGCTAATTTATTGAAATGTGCTGATGTGGAACATTGCCACAGCCTTTGAGTTTGAGATAACGTTAGCTACAACGAGCAGCTCACCATAAGTTATTCTTGAAGTTTCGAAGCAACTTATAATGTTTTCGTGCCTACTGTTATCATTTTTGGCCCTAGAGTCCCGCGAGATACTTGTTAGGCTCTGCGGACCCTCATTACATACTGAACAAAGATAAGCTGACCTTACGGTGCAAGCAACGAGCGAGCCACTCATCTGCGTATCCATTACCACGTGATCTCGCTCCAGCCCCATAACCACAGGCAGATAGCTGAGTCAAGTAATAAAAGGAGACGGTTGATTAATCCACCGAGCACGCAGCTCCGGCCGCACAGTCAACTTGAGAGTAAAATTGTTATATTGTCGCTTCTGTGTGCCGTTCTGTACATGCTTCCTTTACAACTCGACTTTCTACGATCGATCGTGTTCATCGATTCGTCCCCATTATAAACTCAGCGCAGATAAAATCAGTGCAAGTTTCTGAAGTTGTACGCACGTTGTATTGCTGACTTGACTGAACGTCGTGCTTCGATGAAAGATTTCAAGCGCAGTTCGCTCTTTGTTGGTACCAGATAATGCGCTCTCGTGTCAAGCGGCCACGAAAAGTGTATAAGAATCCGGATTTAGTATTGCTGCAAACTTCTATCTTAGACGTTTGCAATGCAGATAGAAAAACTGATTACACGATTGTTCGGGCAAAATGCGTGACATTTCATGCTCTAATTGATTAAACCGACCATGCCCGGTACGGCTCCATGAAACATGGTCAGTCGATATCACAGGGGTAAGCCACACCTGCAACTATGTTAGGTACTTTCTAAGTTTCTGATCAAACAACTATAATTTTATTATCAAGAGCAGCAATCTATTTTTATTACAGCCGCTGAACTCTGTGCAACAATGTGATATGCATCCTAGTAAAACTAAATCGATACTAAATTAAAAAATAGCGGTGTAATTGGTGAGCGAGTGTTGGGTTTTAATCATCGGGTGTAATACAGAGAAGCGTTCTCATATTTCATTATCATATACATTTTTAGAACCATACATTTAAATTGCGTACGTTGTCCACGGTATATCCGTTATTCAGTTCACTTGGCTGTATTAGTAGATATCATCCTCAGGCTAATTACATCAAGACAAAGCCATTAGTAGTTGGCTATTTTGGGTATTTTAAAAATATGACGTCTGCTGCGTGAATTAGACCCTATTGAAAAGGATTTTTTACCGGAATTTTATTTTCAGTAAAATATATTTTAAAGCAATATGGAAGTCTTTTCATTTACGGTAAAGCTTAAATTTACCAGCAAACACCGGATTTTTTACGAAAACGTTTATTTCCAGAAAAAGGAAAATATTTTATTAGATTATGAGACTCTTTTCATTTCCGGCAAAGGCGGAACTTACCGGAAGTCACCCCGTTTTCTTGGCTTCACCAGAAATTACCGGGAATGAGCGGATTCGCTGATATTTACCGGAACTCACCGTGTTTTTTTTTATTTTCGGACGTCAACTGAAGGATATTAGGAAGAAGCCTGTCAACAGTGCGTGGTGTATGTTTACCAGATGCTGTACGATTCTGTAACAATTAAAACGGTTATTGTATATAGACCGGAATGTTTTCTATCTTTATTTCACAGGGTCGATACCACCCTATTGAAAAATCCGGCAAAAACTTCCAGTGACATTCGGTGGAAACGGGTTAACTTCCACTTATTTTCACCAGAAACCAGCGTAGCTCACCAGTTTTTTGCTGGAAACATTACCGGCCGCCACTTCCATTAACCAGGTTTCGCTGGACCTTTTACCGGAGCCACTTACGGTTAAAATCCGGCAAAAACTTCCAGGTAGATTCGGTGGATACGGGTTAATTTCCACTCATTTTCATCAGAAACCAGCGTAGACACTTTCGCTGGAAGTTATACTAGAGCCATTTTCGATTACCCGCCGCTGGAAGCCGACGCAAGGCGAACGGCTAAAGTCAAGGTAGCCAAGACGAGCAGGGGGACTCTGTTTGTAATGGCGGCCGCCGATGTAGCGGGATTCTCGTGAGTGCGTGTTTTAGCTCGAAACGACGTTACAATTCTTCAAGAAGTGCATGCAGCGAACTGTTTTAACGATCCAGAAAGGTGGACAGCGATCACCGGCAACTTGATATTTGCGACAGGCAAAAATCTGGGCCAGAGCAGGTACGAGACCACTCGAGCGGCACTCCAGTGAGTGCGAGTTTCAGCTCGGGACGACGTTGCAATCCCCATGGAGTGCATGCAGTGAACTGTTTTGACGATCCAAAAAGGTGGGCACCTTCACCCGTTCTCCTCCGAAACCAGTTTACCAATCTTTGGTAGATTATTTGCCGACAAACAGATTTCACTGGAATGTCACCAGCAGCCCCTTTCGTATACCATACAGACGACCCGGTTTTCCTAGAAATCTTACCCGAAACGGGTGACTCACTTCCCCGTTTACCGACCTTCACTCGAAGCCGACGCAAGGGGAAGGGGAAGCCGAGACGAGCCGGCGACTGAGTGTGCACTTATGGTGCCTCGCACCAAGGACGAGTCCCCATGCACCCTCTCTCCCTCGCATTGGGTTCGTGGGGAAAATGCAAGAGGGTAGTTTTGCTGACTTATTATTTTTTTTTAAGAAAACCGGTTTCTTTGTTCGTCAACGAGCAACGGCCGGCCAGGAACGAACGCTCAGTCTCGGCTTCTCGTTCCATGTGTGCGACCTGTATCTTCCAAAGCAGCTGGGTGTGCAGATGAAAAGAGTATATGTTTCAGTGACCTGTTTCTGACGCCCCTTTGTCCGTCCGTCTTCAGCAGCATCCAGCGAGCGAAAAAGACTGTGCCTAAGATTTCTCAACGTTGGCGGATGTTTGTTTCGCGCATTCGTGGTTTTCGCTAAGCGTGCTACTGACGCCTGGTGCAAACGCGGCGACGGCATCAGGGACGACATCGTGAGTGTGCCCGGGATTTCTCAACGGCGGCGGATGTTCGTTTCGCGCGTTCGTGGTTTTCGCTAAGCGTGCTACTGACGCCTGGTGCACCCGCGGCGACGGCATCAGGGAGGACATCGTGAGTGCCGGGGATTTGTCAATGGCGTCGGATGTTCGCTCCGCGCGTTCGTGGTTTTCGCTAAACGTGCTGCTGACAGTATACCTGTATGTGTCCCTGTGGTACACCTGCGTGATTTTATTATATTGAACTACCGTGCGTCTAGGAATTTACCCAGCGGCATTGTGAGTACCTTGAAAGATATCTTTTGTGGCAAAGAACTTGCATGGTTGTTCCTTTTTGGTCTGATTGCTTTTGTCTACAGCTGTGCAAATTGTTTCACTGGTACCGACCCTGTTAAATAAATACATAGAACCTCCAGGTCTATATAGACTAACCACTTTAATTGTAACCGAATCGTCCAGCATCTGGTAAACATAACCAACCACGGTTGACAGGCTTCCTCCTAAGTGCCTTTGGTTAACGTCCGAAAAAAGAAAGAAAAAAACACGGTAAATTCCGACCAATCTGGTTATCTTCTGGTAAATTCTGGCTTTACTGGTAGTGAAAAGAGTCCCATAATCCAGTAAAATAAACTTTTACTGGAAATAAACTTCCGGTAAATATCCGGTGGCATTCGTGTAAAACAACCGGTGACATTCCAGTAAAAAATCCGGCGACATTCTGGTAAACTACGGCTTTACTAGAAGTAAAAACACTCCCATAATCCAGTAAAATAGTCTTTTACTGGAAGTGACATTCCGGTAAAAAATATTTTTTAATAGCGCAGTGATACAATTTACACAACTTTTGAAAACAGCAATCACACCAAATAGGAACAACCAAGTTCTTTGTCGGAAAAAAAGATATTTCAAGGTGCTCACAATGCAGCTGAGTAAATTCCTAGATGTACAGTCGTTCAACTAATAAAACGGAGCAGGTACACAACGTGGACACATACACACTGTCAGTAGCATGCTTAGCAAAAACCACAAACCCGCGGAACGAACATCCGCCGCCGTTCAGAAATCTATGAGACAGTGATGGTGTCATCCTTGATGCCGTCACAGAGGCGTCCCCGACGACTTTTTCACTTTCTGGATGC